TTGCTGGAGGAGGTGTGGTCTTGCTGGAGGAAGCATGTCATCGTGGAAGGTGGGCTCTGAGGTCCCCTGTACTTGAGCCATGCCCTGAGTGGCACACAGTCTTTTTCTCGGCTCCTTCTCTAGCACCGTGTCTGCCTGCATGCCGCCATGCTTCTTACTATGGACTACACCTCTGAAACTGTAAAGCAGCCCAAATAAATGTTTTCCTTAATAACAGTTGCCATGGCCATGCTGTCTCCTCACAGCAACAGAAACCCTGACTAAGAGAGAAACCCTAACGAAAACAGCTGTCTTCACTGTGCTGTCTCCTTTGCTATCCAATACCTTCCATTTCCTAGCTATTGGTGCTGTTCGGCAGGGCACTGAAGTCTTTCCAAGTCATCTCTGTCTATGCCATTCCCATGCTTTTCTCTGGCAGTTTCAATTGCCTACATCTTCCACTAAGTCTCAATGAACCATGAGTTGCTTTTTGTGGGGGGTGAAAGCTAGAGAAGGACTGTGCCATTCTTCATGCTGATATTGAGTTTTCCCACGTCGATTTATTGAAGTCTGTCTTTTTCCTGCATGTTTTTGTCACCTTTATTGAGAATCAGGTACTATGCTGTGTTGACTTATTTCTGTGCCCTCTATCCTGTTTCATCTGTCTAGGTGTGTTTCTGTTCCAGGAGCATGCTGGGGGTGATACTGTGGCTTTCAGCCAATTTTGTTCAGGATTGTTTTGGGGGCTGTTCTAGGCCTTTCGTACTTCTATATGGATTTCAGAAGCACTTTTTTTTTTTTTAATGGATACTTATTTTTAGAGCCTCTGTTATGTTTGCTTGTTACACAGCAAAAACTGACTGATACAGTCTCCTAGGAAGCTGACCTTCCTGAGAAAGAGGTGATAGGGGACAAGAGGCTACCCAGCCTCCTTTGAGAGAGTGTCTGCCCTGGGCACTGTCGTCAGCTGACATCCTTCCGAGGAGCTTCATGCCAAGGCAGCACTTCAGCTAGTGTGCTCATCCTGAACAGCCCCAGGCACTAACTGAGCACAGCTGGAGCCCCTGTTGTTGAGGCTCTTCTCACCCACTCTCTCCGCTGTCCACCTCCCTCCTGCCTCTCTGTTCACCACCAGCCTGTACTAGGAGCTAAATGAAGGGCTCCCACGTGCTTACTGTCCTCTGTATCTTCCACAGGAGCCACCCCTGAAATTCATGCACTTAAGACTCCATCTTGATAACCGCTTGGCAGAGGACTCAAAACGACACAGCACAGACTGAAGATTCCATGGAAAGATTCGGCGCATTCATTGCTAGCTACCTCAAGATGGATAGCGGCAGTTTTATCCAGAGACTGCACAGACCAGTTTTTCAACCGGTTCCAAATCAGTCGCTGGGTGGCTTTTTCCGATGACCCATGAGAGGTAATGAGGGCCCATTGTAGAGAATTTTTCCGATACCTCCAAGATGGATGGAAAACTAAGGGCATAGCAGGGAGTGGACCCAAGCAAACTGTCCTGAGACTGTATGGTTGGCATTTGTTTCTTTCTTAGTTACCAGGAAATACCCCACCTCATTTCCCAGTTATAACGTCATCTGACTAGAGCTGGAATTGGCCAGATGGAAATAGAGTAGACAGGTAGACAGGCAGACAGGCAGACAGGCAGACAGGCAGAGCTGCCCTGATTCTAGGTTACTTTAGCTGCATGGGTCTGGGGAGGAGCTTGTGCTGCCACGAACGAGACGGCTTCATGGTGGTGAGGTTCCGAGCTAACACAAGACCGTTCCCTGCAGCCAGGAGCGAAGGAGAGCGGCTTATGGGGGAGGGCCTGTCCACAGCTGCTCCGCAGGTGGACTGTGGAGTTAGACATACGCCTTGACTCACACGGCCTCTGTGAGGTTTGGGTTCAAGAGGGATGCTGAATCAGGTGGCGCTTTTGAGGAAAAGATCTATTTGGAGAGTTATGAATGCCATAGACAAGCAGGCCGGTGGTGTGTGTGAGGGGGCAAGGTGGGGTTTCTCTCTGACAGATTTCTGAGAAAGGAGCGAGGTCCCATGCGCCTTACGTAGCCCTAGGATGCGGTTGCAGGTTGGTTGTCTGTGATGGCTGTGTGGCTGAGGCAGGATTTATTTAATGTGTGCCCTTCCTATGGGCCAGTCGCCTGCAGCCCTCGACCTCCGAGGGAGCCTGGCGCACTTCCCTCGAGGGAAGGGAGCTAAGGCTTAATAGCAGATTGCTTGTCAAATCTCTGTAGTGTCGAAAATTAGGAGGCACCGACAAAGCTGTGAAGGGGGAGACGGAAAGCTGCAATGGGCAGGGGCTGGGCTGGGCCTGGGCAGGGATCTAACATTCTGCTCACGACCACCAGGATCTAGGGAGAACCAAGGTCAGGGGAAGCAGATGATCACACGCTGGCCTCGGGTTGCCCAGCCTCGGTAGCCTGGTCCTTGTGTCAGGGACTGTTGGAGACAAGTCCTAAGAAACTTCTGACCTTTTCTCATTCCCCCCACCCTGCTGCACCTGGCTGACCAACATCCTGCTTGACAGTTGCAGAAAGGTGCTAACTGTACCATGACTTCCTGAGATAACTGCAAAGTGTTCCGGGTCCCGGGCCGAGAAGATTCTGTAACTTCCACCCTGCCCCTCCCTGAGTCCATAAACTCTAGAGTAAGACTTTCCAACCTGCCCTCCCTGAGTTTAGAAACTCTAGAGTGAGACTTTCCAACCTACCCCTCCCTGAGTGTTCTACACTGTGCTCCTCCCTCGCCCCGCCCCTAGCTAAGGTTGGCCTTAAAAGCCTGCTCCGGTTCAATAAAATTTGACTCTTGACAAGTGCACATTTGCTTGAGTCCGTTCTTCTCTCTCGCCCGTTTTTCTTTCAGGCATGGTCCTCTTTGGAGACCCCACGAATTACTAGTCCCACAGGCGGGTACAAGGGACCATTGTCCCTTCTCGTGTGGGAATACAAAGCCCCAAGCAGGTGGGGCGCTCAGTCTAGACAGCGCTCCTGCCAGTCTCTTCCTCTCTACAGAGCAGGAAGGGAACCATTCTTCTTCAGACTCGGGCAGTCCAGGGACATGGCTACTGGACAGGGCTCGTGTTTCCTTCCTTAGAGTCACCTGCATGCATCGCTAACACTCAAAACCGTAAGACAATTTGTCACCTTGGAAGTCTTGGGCACCGAGACACTGCTATCTCCTACCCCAGCAACAACGAGAGGTCAGGAAGGAGCCCAAGTGAAAAGAGGCCGCCCATGGGGAGAGTCCACTTCCAGGCCAGTAAACGGTCCCCAAGAGGGGGAGAGCAGGTCCCTCCCCGTTCTACCTCCTGCCCCTGACATGCTCTGGGCCTGTCACACCGCCACACTGTGCTCGGGACAGAGTGGCAGTATGTGTGCCTGCCCAGGCTGCACTGTCACTGCTTGGCACGGCACACAGTAGGCGCAAAGGCAAGAGGATAGAGGAGTCTCTCTGCAAGTGGATGGGAGGCCAGTTAGGTCCCTGCGGTTGGTTGCATGGGTATCTTGGACATGACCCTGCTGCCATGTTCAAATATGGAAGTTATGGGCTTCCCTGAGAACATTTTTTCCTCTAATTCTTAGGCAGGAGGCAACAGGCTATCTCTTCAACAATGGAGTTTTCTAGTTCCTCTTTGATCTAAACTTTAAGGCTCGGGTGGAAGTTGGCCCAGCAGCGCAGATTTTCCAGACTCTTGTAGGTCTTCCTGTGGCCAGCAGGTGGCACCATAACCTCATTTCCATGGGCTGGGACAGCACAGATGCTGCCACTCAGCAAGTCTTAGTGACTCTAGCTCCTCCCCGTGGCCTTCAGGATGGCTAAAGTGCGTCCCAAGAACTGCTCCCAGACCTAGGGCGGTTCTGAGGGGCTTTTTACCTCTCTCTCCTCTAAACTGGAACATGCCAGTCTGCTAAGAGGGCTGTTGTGTGAGGGGAGGAGGGCAAGGAGAGGATTAGCTCAGAGGTCAGACTGGCAGCAGCAGCTTCCTGGCTCACCTATCCCTTCCTCGGGCGCATCCCAAGACAGATCCTCCCTGACCTAGGGGCAGCCATCGTAGGCCGCACCACAGCCACAGGCCTGGTTTGTGGTCATGGGCACAACCCATCCACTCACCCACTTCAGTTCCAGATGCTGACTGGAGACTGGACTGAGGGAGGTGGACAGACCCTTAGGCCTGGAGAGGAAAGAAGGGTGTCTCTCTCCAGGGATGGTTCAAGGAGCAGCGCTGGCCTTGACTTTTATGGGTGTTGACAGGGTCGGTCACTCCTGACCCAGGAGATGGGGAGCTAAACGTATTTCATACGTTAGTGTAGTTCAAAACCCCTCTCAGCTCGCTTGGGGGGCTGTGGGGCGGGTGACAGGTAGGCGGACTGCAGCAGAGGGCAGAGGCAAGGGCCATCATGCTGGGATTAAGTCCAGACAGAGCAACAAATCACGCAGACGCAGCGTAAAAAGCACCTTTCGTCTTAACAAAGGCTCAGTGGGTTTTCCCACCACAGGGCAAGCTCAGCAGCGATCTCGACAGTTAACGTTTATTGAGTACTTGTTAGAGCCCAGGCACTTCTGAAGCATGTGTGTTTTTATCGGCTCCTGAGCCAGCTCAATGAGGTAGAGCCTAGTGACACGGATGAGGCAAGCGAGTTACGAGGTCGTTCGGCTGGAGCCGGGATTTGAACCGATCAATATCCTAAAGCCTACGACCTCCCCGCCTCTCCCCGTGGGTACCTCGGCCTTCCAGCAGAATCTTGGGATGGAGGCCAGGCCCGTGGCTAGGGTATCTGGTGGGTGTCAAGCAGCCAAGATGGCCAGACAGAGTGAGAGTTGGTGGTGGGAGGAACCTGAGGTGGAAAGTGAAGTCCTGAGGTGAGGAAGAAGAGCCAGCCTAAAGCAGCTTTCCTGGCTTCTTGCCTGCCAGGGCCATGTGGGTGGCAGACGCTGGTAGCGGCCTTTTTATCCAGTGACATGCCCACTGCCTCCCTGGCAAGAAAAGCCCAGAGTTCAGGTCAGGGATGGGAGGAGGCTTTATTGACAATGGGGCAGTGGTGTTTGGGGCACACACACGGGACACTGCTCTGAGAGTCCGGGCTCACGGCAAGCCCCAAAGCCTCTTCGCCAAAGGGATCTCTCCCCCTCTCCAGGCTGAACTTTCCAATATTCCTTTTTCTAGTGACGGAGACAAGCCATGGCTACCCAGCACCGTCCTCCGGACAGAGTGACTCACAGCTGCCATGGGCAGCCAGGAGCCGAGTTTTGCCTGAAGTGGGTGAGGACAAAATGAGGCCGCAGCCAGGGCTCTCTGCAGAGGCTGGAGTCAAGGCCAAAGTACAGTGACCCAAGTCTGAGCGGGGGCCAGCAAGGTCTCCAAGCACTTTCCTCCTGCTTTGGCTGCCTAGGAAGCCTTCTCCTGCCATGTCTGTGTGGGCCCCTCAGCTCCCACGCTCTGTCACCCACATCTTTCCCTGGCTGGCAGGATTCCTCAGCTATCACTTTTTACAGGCATGAACAGGGCTGGGGCCTGGCCAGGTACTTCTCAGTGGCAACAGAAACAGCGATAGGCTCCCAATTCGGGGTTGCTTCTCCCCAGTTACCTGTCTGCCTATGGCAGGATGACTCACAGAGGCCGAGACTGGCTTTGAGACCTTAGCTCTGGGAGCCCCAAACCTTCTGTAGCCTCCCCCAAAGTTGGGCAGAGACTCAGGGGTAAGCCAGGCCTGACTGGGCCTGGGAGGAGCAGGAACAAAAATAACCCGGTACAGGCTCCTGCTGGGGCCAGAAATAGCATAGCGACAAGTGCCTCGGAACACCCGGCACACAGCAGCGGGGAGGCTGAGCCGAGAGGGGCCTGTCTCCGCCAGACCTCATCTGGCCGAGGGGCTGGCACTCCTTCCACTCTACATACCACGCTTGACTTTCCGTGTGCTCACACGCGCGAGTGGGAGCCCAGGGCACTGCGGCTCAGGACAGGGAATCTGGAGAGATGCTAAACTTGGGCTTGGCCTTCGCCACGGCCACACTGCGCTTGCGCAGAGGCCCTCGCGTGGACGCGAGGGCCAGGGCGTCCAGCAGGCTGCGGTCCTCATCAAGCTGGCGGGCTGTGCACAGGGGTGTGGGCACTTTCACGGTGTTACCGAATTTGGAGTAGTCCACAGAATAGCGGCCGTCCTCCTCGGCCACGATGGGGACGAAGCGCTGCCCCCACAGAATCTCGTCGGCGAGGTAGGAGGTGCGGGCCTGGGTGGTGATGCCCGTGGTCTCGACCACGCCCTCCAGGATGACGATGATCTCCAGGTCCTGGTGGTGGTGCAGGTCACTGGGAGCCAGGTCGTAGAGCGGGCTGCTGGAGTCGATGACGTGGTAGATGATGAGCGGGGCCACCAGAAAGATGCTGTTCCCGCCCACGCCGTTCTCCATGGGGATGTCCACCTGGTGGAGGGGCACCACCTCGCCCTCGGGGCTGGTGGTCTTCCGCACCACCTGCATGCGGATGGTGGCGCTGATGATCATGCTCTTGCGGAGGTCTCCCACGCGCAGCATGAAGCAGAGGCGGCCGTGGCGCAGGGTGATGACGGCGTGCTTGCTGAAGATGAGGGTTTCCGCTCGCCGGTGCGCCTGCGCCGTCTTCATGAAGATGCAGCCCAGCATGATGGCGTTGACCATCAGCCCCACGATGTTCTGCACGATGAGGACGAGGATGGCCAGGGGACACTCCTCCGTCACCATGCGCCCGCCGAAGCCGATGGTCACCTGGACCTCGATGGAGAAGAGGAAGGCGGAGGAAAAGGAGTGGATGCTCGTGACGCAGGGCACGGCCGTGCCCTCTCCCGGCGCCAGGTCGCCGTGGGCGAAGGCGATGAGCCACCAGACCATGGCGAAGAGCAGCCAGCTGCACAGGAAGGACATGGTGAAAATGAGCAGCGTGTGGGGCCACTTGAGGTCCACCAGCGTGGTGAACACGTCCTGCAGGAAGCGGCCCTGCTCGCGAATGTTCTTGTGCGCCACGTTGCAGTTGCCTTTCTTGGACACGAAGCGGGCCCTCCTCTCCCGGGTACGGTACCTGGGCTCTGCAGGGTCCTCCGCCAGCCGGGTCAGCACGTATTCCTCAGGGATGATGCCCTTGCGGGACAGCATGGCGCCGGTGGCCCCGGGAAGGGGTTTCCCCCATGAGGGGCACTGCCCTGGCCTGGCCCCGGCCTGTCTGCGAGGTCCTCTCTCTGAGGCTACCCTAAGCTCGTGCCCCCCTCTCCCTGGATCCGCTCCCCGCCGGGTCCTGCGCCCCTTACCCCGGCTTCAGACGCCGGCTCCGCCTGCTCGTGGCTGACCGAGCCCAGCCCAGCCTGCGCTCTGCCCGGCCCCGACCTCCTCTGGGATCTCCTCCACCACGCCTGGACCTCCCCTGGAGCCCCTTCCGCGGGCCCAGCCTTTCTTCTCAAACCACCTCACAACTTAGCACCTCCGGGTCCCCCCGCTCGCTCGTCCCGCGCTGCTCCCTGCCTCGCCCTCCTCTGTCCCCTCCACGCACCAGCTCTACTTCTTGACCCGGTGTGCCCTCCAGGTGTGCCCCCAATTTCCTACCCCACCCCTCGCCGAGCGCCCTCGCCGCTCTCCGGGTCCTTCTCCAGCTCGCCCTCTCTGTCTCCTTGGGATCCCGCGCCCTTCGAGTCACCCCGGCTGCACTTCGGGCCCCCTCGCCCCCCAGCGCCCAGACCCCCTGGCTCCGCGCGCGGCCTCCCTGCTGCCCGGCCGCCCGCCCGCGGCCCCCGCCGCTCCGTGCCCGCCCCGCCTGTCGCCGCCGCCGCACCTGCTCCTGCTGCTCAAGCCGCGGCCACCTCCCTGCCCCCTCCCACTCCGGGAGCGCTCTCCGGGCCGGCTTCCCGGCGAGCGTCTGCGAGCCGGTCCCCGGGCACGGACCAGTGCGCGGTGGGGGTGGGAGGCCGCGGCCGGGGGGCTCCGGAGAGCAAGGGCAGCCTCGCCGCCAGGGGGCGCCAGACCGGCTCCCGAGCGGGGACAGGGTTGGACCTGGGCGTCAGCCCCGCCCACGGAGGGCTCTGGTCCCGCCCTCTCCTGCTCAGCATCCTCAGTCATAGGGCTTTCTATAAATGATGGCTTTAAGGAAGTTCCTTTTGTGAAATTCTTGTAGTCTGGCTCGGCAGCCCCTATTGCCCTGGCTTCCAATTTCCCCCTCCAGGAGTCGGGTCTTACCTGCCTCTCCCGCAGCACTTGAGTCCTGAAGCAGGCTTAGCCCCAGGACTTCTCTTTTGACCATGCTTCTTCCATTTGAGGGTCATTCTTGAGCCTACATTTATTTATTTGTTTGTTTGTCTATCTGAGACAGGATTTCTTGTAGCCCAGGATGGCTTCAAACATGCTATGTAGCAGAGGATGACCTTGAACTTCTGATCCTCCTGCCTCCACCTCCAGAGAGCTGGCATTGCAAGTGCATAACAAGGCCCTGGGTGCTGCCCCTGCACTGTAAGAGGATTTGTTTTGCCCGAATTTGCGTGACACTCTGTACACCGTTTGCCTGATTTCTTTCCTCTTAGCCCGAGGGGGTGGGGGGAGGGTCTGGGCCTGAGCAGCCGTTTCAGAGCTAGCTTAGCTGGAGAGTGGGTGTCCCGGGTTACTGTCCTCAACAAGGGTGATGCTTCCATTACAATACCAGCTGGCCCCTGAAGGCTGCTGGGCTGTAGTGGCCTGCCCTGGGGCTCAGATCCTTTGAGACACACCCCTGCCTTCTGCGCAGCTTGAGGCTTGAGGCTGGGGCTAGAGCAACGGTGACCCCGATCGCGGGCCATCATGGAGCATTTCCATATTGAGTGGGGACTTCCAGGTGGAGTTTTCTTCTTTCCCTCCAAATCCACCGACGGCTGAGTGGACCCTGCTACAAACCCTGAGCGCAGGTGGGACTGTACTAATTGGGTGCCGTGCCTACGGCAGGGAGGGTGAAACAAGTTGAGTATAAATAAGAGCTTCAGGAGACAGCTAGACGGGGAATCTGTGGGGCCACTTCAACCTTTAGCCATGAGAAAAGTACCCTTGGAGAGCTTCAGGAACTTTGGACATCCCTGCGGAAGTCCCTGGGGTTAAAGGAGGAACAGCTAGTCAGTTTGCTTGGGCCAATGAGTTGTCCAGGCATGGAATGAGGCGGGCTTTGATTGATACCTGCAGGAGTCTGTTCTGATGACAGTGACCAGAGGTGGCCCACATGGTGGAGGGCCCCAGTCTCAGCTGGTGGACTGTTAATTAGACCATTATGCAAAGATCTGGGCCAGGATGGCCTTGGTCATTCTTAGACTTCCTTGCTCTTTCCCTGCGGTTTGGAGTCCGTGTCTGGGCAGGGCAGAGTCCTCTAACCCTCCCTGTGTCTGCTCCTGGAAGTCCAGAGTGGAAGGAACTTCTGGTCCCACAGAAGCATCGTAGGGCTGAGAGGCCAGGCCCTGCCCTTTGGTACGGCCTTAGCTAGTTCCTGCCCCCAGGGAGAAGAGGCTGGGTGTCTTGTCCAAAGGGCTCAGCTCCTTCCCCGATTGATTCCTTATTGACTCACAACCATCTCCCCACTGTCCTCGTGGAGTCCTTTTCCCCACACTCTCCATCCTAGCGTTAATGGTCTCTGATGCCTCCCTGCCGCCAGGGGGTGGTTCCACACCCCTCCACGAGGGTACTTGAGGTACCCAGTCGCTGTGGCTCCTTCACTCTTGCTGCAAGATCCCTGCCTTCCTCTCCATCCCCCTGTCCCTCTGACTATCCGATTTTTTTCCCTCCTACACCCAACACAAATCCTGCCTTTCCCAGGCAGCCTGCCAGGCCTCACTGAGCTCACTCGTGAGCTCCTCTGGCTCCTGGCACCCCAGAAACAGTCTGTGATGGGTTCCCTCTGGTGGCCTGAGAACTTTCCCTTTATCACCATGCTCTGACCTGATTGCAGCCCTGAGAGATGAAGACCTAAGACTCCTAGGTCTGCAGCCCAAGGGTCTCCTAAGCCAGTCCTGCAGGCAGGATGCTAGTTAGAACCAAATGTATGTAAATGAACACCTGCCATTTCTTGGCTGAGGAGAGGTTTACACTCCTGTCTCCTAATGCAAATGGGGTTGGGACACGCTGTTGTTTTGGTCTCTGGGTATCTGGTCCCTGGCATCTTTGAGCCACCACCTGGATGACTTGTACAGGAACTGCTCAGGGACCACATTCCTCCAACTGCTGAAGGCTTGTGGGGTGAGGGAGGCAGAAATGGTGGCATGAGATTATGGCCTAGCCAGCAGAGTGTCCCTGATTGGGTGGGGGCGGGCATGGGACCAGGTGAGTCCATTGGGATTCAGTCCTAGGACTTTACTGGAAGTATTTTTCTCCTGTTGCTCTGGGACAGGATATACGTTAAAGCCATTTGTCAGAGGACAGAGAGCAAGGAAGTGGGATTCAGAAATGGGGATAGCATCCTGACGTCAGAAACCTGGAGTCACCCATGTTTGAGGTAGCCTTCCTCCAGGTCACTCTGAGCAGTCAGACGCACAGTGAAGATGCTGGGTGCCGGACCCCGCAGTTATGACCCAGGTGAGCAGGAGGGAGTCCCAGCTGGGTGCTGGACCCTGCAGTTATGGCTGAAGACTGCTTTTTTGTTTGATGGGGCTTCAATGAGCTGTTACCACCTTTGCTGCAGACTGAATTCCCTCCCTAAATTCATAGGCTGAAGCCTCCGGTTCTGTGTACTTGGGTCCAGGGCCCATGAGGAGGTAATTAAAGTTCAATGAGGTTGTGGGCAGGAGCTAATCCAATATGACTAGTGACTTAAAGGAAAATAACAGAGGGGTGGGAAGAGGGGAAGCAAGTATTGAGAGGCTGTGAGGACACAGCGAAAAGCTGTGGAGAGGCCTCAGGAGAAGCGGAAGATGCCCACACCGGGATCCTGACTCCCCGCCTGCAGGACTAGTAGAAGCCCATGTTTGCTGTGAAAAGCCACCCAGTCTGTGGCGTTTCGCTATGGCGGCTGGGTCTGCCCTACATGGATCGGGAACTTGTTTTTGCCTCTGTTCACATGGTACCAAAGGCAGGCCGGTCCCCTGCACCCCTGGGCTACCGCTGCCCCTTCCACAGAGCCAGCGCCTCTGGTAGCAAAGAATTAATTTATTTACAGGTGATTTACAGTAAGAAATCTTAGGCAAGCAAGTGAGGTGTGGCGGGCACTTTGGTGCTGGCAGGTCACTTGTCCGCACGGACGAAGGAGGCGAAGATGCTGTCCTTCTGGCTGAGAAGCGTCTCTGGCTTGTCAAACTCCAGGATGGCACCCCTCTTCAGGACCATCACCAGGTCTGCACTTAGGATGGTGTGCACGCGGTGCTGGGTGGGCAGGGGATGCTGGTTAGTGCATCGGGCAGGACAGCGGAGGAAGCTGTCCTCCCCAGCCGGGAGGGAAGCCATGCCACCATGTCCTCACCATGTCCTCTCTCTCCTCTCCCCCACACCTCCTTTTTCTTCATGTAGTCCTGACAGACCTCACGCTACTACGTAGCCCACAATGACCTTGAACCCCCACTCTCCCTTCTACTTCCTGAATGCTAGGATTAGTGTCAGCACCACACCCTTTTCTACAGTGCTGGGGATTGAACCCATGGCCTCATATCTGTAGGAATGAGCTTTCCACAGCCCGACCGTGTCCTGTCCTGGGTGGTGGTTCCAGCTCTCTACCCTTCCTTCTCTTCTCAAGCAAGCCTCCTGCCCTGCCCCCACCTCCATCCGGGCTTTAGGACTTCCCACCCCAGGCTCCCACCTTCAGTGAGAAGCAGTCCCAGAGCTCACAGGGCTTAGGGAAGGGCATGTCTTGGAATCCAAAGAAATAGGGGGAGGGCCTGAGGCAAGTAAAGTGTGAATCTTAGACACCCCAAACCCTGCTCTGTCCTCCTGCCAGCTCTCTAGACTGCCCGTGCTGAGCACTGGAGGATCGTCCCCTGACTACAGGGATCAGTCCTCTGGTGACAGTGCCAGTGTCGAGCCTTCCCTCCTGGTGGCCTCCACGTGCTAGCCGGCCTCTTACCGCAATGGTGACCACAGTGCGGTCTGCGAAGGCTGTCATCACCACCTTCTGGAGGATGTTTTCCTGTCAGGGTGGGGGTAGTGGCTGCTGGTTCATCTGCTCCAGGGATGGTGTCTGGGCAGGTTCTGGGGAAAGGGCGCCAGGTGGCCCAGCCCCCACCTGCCTCCCACCTAGCTCTATGCCCGTCTTCCCTCTGCCTCTGGACCTAGGGGACCGACCATGTCCCCAGTACTTAGGGGCTGGGCTTGACTTTGCCACATAGGCCTTGATGTGAGGCTTAAGACCCCTCCGTGCCAGCTCCCTAACATGCCCTCCGGACCAACCGTAGCCATGTCGATGGAGGCAGTGGCTTCGTCCATGATGAAGATGCTAGTCTTTCTCACAAAGGCCCGGGCCAGGCAGAACAGCTGCCTCTGGCCCTGGCTGAAGTTCTCCCCTCCTTCTGTGATGATGGCGTCTGGAAGCAGACGGAGGGAGGGACGGGTTAATTCTGGCTGTGAGTAGGGCAGCCCCATGGCTTGTGGGTGGTAAGGGACGCACTTGCAGGGCCCCCTATGTGGCTGCGTCGGCGTGTGCAGCCACGGCATATCTGACACAACAGGGCCCCCTTTGTGGGGGTATGCTGTGCAGTGCTCATCCTGGCGCTGTGCGCCGCTGCGGCCCAGGGCAGTCCTGCTAGAAGCCTTGGCCAGAGCGATGAACCAGTGAGGGCATGGCTTGTCTGGCCTCACAGCGCCTGCAC